AGAGGAGACAGAAATGTGCAGAACCACAAATTAGTTGCTTTAATAGGAAAGTGGCAAAGTTTTTTTGGACAACCAAAAAGGGAAAGTTGGCAAAGTCCAATGGGACAGAGGGAGTACAATATTGTGGATTTTTATATATATATACATATATATATATATGTATGTATGTATGTATATATATAGGGGAGCGTTCTAGTGAGAACCCTCTTAAATGAGAACCCAAATTTTAAGGTGAGAACCCGTGGTATTTTTGGCTGAAATTTTTGGTGTATGTTGCTCATCAAGTCTAGTTCATTCAAACATTTTAACAATCATTGAAGTAGTTAGATAGAGCAATGTCACTTCATAGGAAGTAGACACAACCAATGGCTTAAAAAACTTCCAGTAAATATAACAAAACTACCTGCTGGAGCTTGACAAGACAAGGAAGTACGATGCAATAAGGGCAAGAATCACAACCATCTGGATTGTCTCTGTGAAGGTAAGGCCATATAATACCATCCGAAATGGTCCTTTTGCAACACTCAGCCTGCTTGAGAGGGCTTCCACAACTACATGGCAGGTCCTTATTGATAAGACACTGTACATCAGGTAACTGCAACATCCTCTGGTAAACACGTTTTTGAATCGCACTCATTGCACAAAACACAACATTATCTTCTTTTCCTAGCATAAGATGACCGATCGTCTCCTCCTTTGTCCTTCTCAGCAAATACTTATGCAAAACCGACACCAAGTGTTGTTTTCTCTCTTCGGCAACTTGCACAAGTCTGTTAGAAGCAGTTGACCTCTGTCCATGCTTAAGTGGATCCTCATAGAACTCTCGAAAGTGTTCACGTGTGCCCAAACAGCCGGGGACCACCCAGTCAAACAGATTGAACAGTTCCATGATTTTATTCTGCATTACGGTTCCAGTCAGACCATAACGTTTCATAGTTTTGATATCTAAACAAGCTTGATAGAGTTTAGACTTGTCATTCTTGAGTCGGTGTGCTTCGTCAATAATCACAACCTCCCACTTGACTTCTGACAAGACACTCCCTTGGATTCTGTATGTATCATAACTGGTTATTATTACCTCCACTCCGTACGTTTTTAGTTTGTCGATTATCAATTCACGGTTTGGTCCATGCTGAACAAAGACACTAAAAGTTGACCATTTGGAGAACTCATTCTCCCAGTTATGAATGACGGAAGTTGGACAGATGACAAGTGTGGGACGCTTCTTTTCAAGACCCCGCACTGTCGATGAGGTTAAACCAATGGTATCTGCCTCTTTTCCATATACAGCTGCTAAGAAAGCAATGGTTTGGATTGTCTTTCCTAGTCCCCTAGAGAACCATAACCATAACCATATTCACATTAAAAACATATAAAAATAACTGCATCCAGATAATAGTCTATTAATAAAGACAAGGCTACTCTATCTGTCTATGAGTACAATAAAAATGAAGAGTGGTTAGGAAACTAACATGTCATCTCCTAGAACACCCCCATGGTTATTACGGTACAAACCATACAAGAATTTGACTCCTCCTCTTTGATGCTCCAGAAGCCTACTATTTATAGATGCTGGCACCTGGGAAAAAAGAAAAATACATAACACAAAATGAATTGTTGCACTAGTTTAATGATGCTTAAAATTACAGTAATATGAAATGTCATACTGAAAAATAATGGATGAGGAAATTTATACAAAAAAGAACTGGTTTCTACTTTTTCAAAAAAAGAACTGATTTCTAATAGAAAAATATGGAATAGTTAAACAACAATCAAGGGAGTTTCTTCAGTTCCATTGTGTGCTAGAAACCAAAGAATTGGTTTACTTCAAGCAATACTACAGAAATCACAACACTAAATAACTCACAACAATTATATCCTGGGATCGTTTTTAAAATTCATTAAGTCATTATCACATTTGCATCATCACCTATCAAGTATCAACTTCTTTGCCAAAAAGATTGCATGGAAGCCCAAGTATATACCCCTTGTATTCAATAATATTAAATCATCATTTGGTCAAGTAAAAAGTGACGGCATATAACACTTTAAATGCATATACCAAGTCTTCAAGAAGTTGATAGCTGCATGGTCAAATGAATAAAAAAATGATATTTGCAACGAAATTTTAAAAAATAGGGAAAATCAACTCTTCAGCTATTAGAAGGAAAGACCACCTGTATCAATGGTGTTTCTCCAGGTGGGGACAGGATAAGAGGCTCATAAGACCCGGTGTGGTCAAGAAGAAAAGCCTCAGACTTTGACCTCCCGAACACAGTATGCTTCTCTTCTCCCACCTCTGCTTCCTCTTCTTTGTCATCTTTGACTCTGACACTGAAATGGGTCGGAATTCGGGGTATCTGTGATTGGGTCTGGGATGAAGACGCGAATGAATCATCAAGGCGAAGAAGCTGCTGTGAAAGAGAAGATTTAGGTGGCTTTCTAGTGATTGCAGCGGATGAATCGAATTGAGTGCAAATGGATGAATTTTGAGAGGAATTATATGACGATGATTTATTCCTGCAGGGTTTGAGTATCTCCTTGAAGGCCTTTAAAGACATCCGAGATTTTGCGTTCTTTGAAATGAGTTTAGGTGCTTTCCATTGGATTTGGCGTTTCAATTTTGAATATTTAAGAGATTTTTTATGTTAACCGCCGTTAAGTCAGCATTCATGCTTTTGAATTTGTGTTACGAAATTTATCAAATCAGCTCGGTGAGATGCCATGGTGTTTGGAGCCTCGCCGCCTTGGAGGTGTGAGTCGGCTGCTAAGTGAGCCTTCAAATTGTTTGTGTTAGTATCATAGACAATTTTTTTGTTAAGGTGAAGTCGATTTTCTTCGTAAAACGTTGGTCACATTGTCTGTACACGGATAATTTAACCGGTGTATACAATGACGTATACAAAGTGCTGTGTATAAAGAGTTTTTTCATGCCATTAACACTAGGCACTAGTCACTATAGCACTATCACCCCTAACAAGTCCATGGGAGATGGTACCCTTCAACGAGTTCATTGCCTCTGACGAGCCCCTGCAACCCTCTCGCAATAATTGATAAGAAAATGACATAATAATAACATTTTTATATACAAACACAGAGAACTTGCAGGGGAGAAAGAGGATGACTCGATGTAGAAACTTGGATTTGACCAACAATTTGCTTCTGAATGTGTTTAGTTCAGACTTGAGACGTAAATGTGATTCAAGTTTAGCGTAAAGAGAGTTCAATAATTCAATTCTAATGTAAATGAATGTTGTTCAAGTACTCGAGTGCAAATTTGTTAATTGCAAATTTGACTTCACGCTTCTTTTATAAGCGCCATATTAAAAATATGGCCATTATTGAACTTGAACAATACATTCAAAATGAAAAAAACTCTTAAAAAGCACCATAGTAATCTTGTCATGTAAAATGAACTAATGATTCGAGTATCCAGATCATGCCGAGATAATACAGAAAAAGTAGTTGCTTTCAAAATATGGATGCAGCGACCTCTTGACAGAAAATATATATATATACTCCATCCGTCCCATAAAGAAGTTGAGTTGGACTTGGGATACACACTTTTTGTGTACACACTTTTTACACATGTCTGTGTAAGGTTTTTTTTTTTATGTCTGTACAGACATAACGTATTTTTAAAATACGTTATGTCTGTACAGACATAAAAAAAACCTTACATAGACATGTGTAAAAAGTGTGTACATAAAAAAGTGTGTACCTTTAGAATTTTTCAAAGAAGTTCCCGTTCGCTTTACGATGCTTAACTGACGATAAAGCAACTTGATCCCTGTTCACACTCAGATTATTTTTAGTAAATAAAATTTACATATTCTGAAACTACATTAAAACCGCTACAAAGCCTCATCAAGAAAATTTAAATTTGATATATAAAGTAAAAGATTATGAATTATTTAAGTTGACCAATGAATAGTGAATGGGAACTTCATATCGGGACGGAGGTAGTATATATATATATATATATATATATATATATATATATATATATATATATATATATATATATATATATATAAAGAGAGAGAGAGAGAGAGAGGAACAGGTGAGAAGCGCCCAGAACTGCGAATTTAACTAATAGACTAAAAACACGAAATTTTAACCAATAAATCATAACTTATAGACTCTGTCGAAAATAATTACGAAAATGTCATCGCTAAAAAATAAGCCTGGAAACCTTGAAATTTTTTGAGCGCGGTGGCATTTTCGTAATTATGATGAAGAGCTTTATAAGTTATGATTTATTGGTTATAAGTTACTATATTCAGTCTATAAGTTTACTGCGTTGCAAGATCACATGCAAATCCAAGGCTCAGATTACTTCTCACTTCTCATTTTAAGGGGCACTTCTCACCTGATCTTTTCTATATAGGGAGATCTATCAAATAAGTGCTCGAACTTTCATAAAAAGTTCAAATAAGCCCTTTTACAGGAGACTTTGTCCGGCTGTCGCCAATTGGGGTGGTTTCCGGTGGAATTTTTTGATGAAATTTTTTGAGCATCTTCTTCATTAAGTCTAGTTTATCCATACCAAATTTCAGCTAAAAATTCAATCGAGAAGGCAGTCAAATGATTTTCTGAAATATATTGCGTTGTCTAACTGCACAGTTATCTTCAAAAATCCATTTGACTACCTTCCCGATTGAATTTTTAGCCGAAATTTGGTATGAATAAACTAGACTTAATGAAGAAGATACTCAAAACAATTAATCAAAAAATGCCACCGGAAACCGGCCCAAATGGCGATGGCTGGACAGATCCTCCCATAAAAGGGCTTATTTGCACTTTTTATGAAAGTTCGAGGGCTTATTTGATAGTTCTCCCTTTCTATATATATATATATATATAGACACACACACACAACACACATATATATACACACACTCACATATATATATATATATATACACACACACATATATACATATATATACATATATACACATATATATACATATACACATATATGTGTGTGTGAGAGAGAGAGATATATATCACACTAACTGGTTCTTGTACGTTGCGGAATCAACAAAATTACACTCACTTGTCATCCCACTCATCCCTAACTATGACACATGGTACCTTCTAAGCTTTTCCATTAAAGACTGCAAACAATTCCATTGTCAAATACATGGTATACAACTATAATACAGTAAGTATAGTTGGCTCTTACACCACTGAAGATTTCAAACAAATACAAAGAATACAATCAGACATTTTGCACAAAGTTCAAAACTTTCACCTAAATAAAACATTTATGGCGACCATCACCGTGAACTCTAGCAAGCCTACACGAGTGTTCGACAATCAGCTGATATGTCGATCGCCTCTCCCAAGGAACAAACCCAAACTCATCATTATAGTCTTGCATTCCTTCAACAAGGAACTGCCAGAAAAGAGAACCTGCACCAGCTTTGTTTCGTTTTGCAGACTTGTATATGATGTTAAGAACAACCTTGTAGAACCTATCTCGTTGAGATGGTTCAAAATGCTTGCTCATGGTCGACAGTCCAAATTCGGTGAACATGACAGGTTTCTTCAGTTCCTTTTCACAATCTTCAATGTGAGAGAGTACCCATTTGGTCACAAATTCCAATTTTTCTTCAAAGCTTTGATTCTTTACCCTAGCATTGGATTCAAACATTCTTTATATAAATGGAGGATGACAAAGTTAACTTTGCAAGACAGGGAAATTATGAGCTGGAAGTCAATAGTAAGCTCACCAATGGTCAGGGTAGATATGAACAGAGGCAAAATCCACAGATGGGAGCTTATTATTGCGGATGAAGTCTGTTCCAAGATAAGACGACATGTAATTAGGATTGACTGTCATCTTTTTGTGACTTTTTGGACCATAAAATCCTTCAAGGCCCACAGTCAGCAAGTGATTCCTGTCTATTGACTTTATATAACTTGACATTTCTCCAACCCATTCCTGCAATTCTATGACATACAGTTAAGAAAACATAGTTGGAAAAGGAAATACATATTGGAAAAATGCATTGCAAAAGAAAATGCTTATATTACTAAATAGCTAAGCAGAGAAGAAATACAATAAATACAAGTAGTAAGAACCTAAGTTGTGATAAGTTTCGGTTTACAGGCCAGTGGGTGGCTGAAAGGATGAATTTCCCTTGCCTACGGTGTTACCGTGTTAGACTACAGATTCATGCAGGGAATACTCAATTTACTAAATTCCATCTTGACTGACTATTACAATATGTTTTCCTTTAGAAGGAATTAATACAATTGTAATGTGATGAGAAAACTTATACAATCTATCAAATACAAGAAATTACGAAATACTCCAAAATGTGATAAAAACGGAATCTAAATAAAACTTCCCAACGCAATAAAATGTGACGATGCAGTCAAGTATGAGACAGCAGAATCTGAAACTTGTGTGCTATTTAGCTGACCACCCACTCTTGGACTTGTTTTATCATATACTTCGTATTTATTTGGAGGGTATTATAGTTGGTTTGGTGTTCCATCCTAAAAGATCAAGCTAAAGTATATTGTAATGACTTAACATATCCCGCAAGTTCAAGCTTGATGGGACAATCCAAATACTTGGATTGATTGTTTATTTGATCTTTAATTGAATGATTGAACCTAATACAATATTAAGATTTATGATTTCATCCTAATATTCAACCTAATATAAAGAATAGTAAAAGGTCTTATACATGGTGTGGTATGAGCCGTATGGCTTAACGTATTGAAGCATGTGATATTTTAATATTGTACTCCGTAATAATTTAGTATTAGTTTATACTATATATTTATTTAGGCTATATTATTGCAACTATTAAGTGCATGGCCCATGCAATAGGAACAATGTTCCTTCCCTGTATTATAAATACACATACGTAGGATGTGTATAAGATAAGAGAGAAGAGTTATTGTGTGTAGCATTCTCATTCGTATAAACTTAGCATGCTCCCAGTGAGCTTTATTTCTCCATTTCAATTAATATTAATTTTATCATAACGGAGTAATGGAGAACATGGATAGGTCAGATATGAGCAGAGAGATATTTAAGCAGCAAAAAGGAGCCGATCTGTCATCCACAAGTAACTGGAATGGAAAATCCAAATATTACTGCACCATCCAATGTTTCCATTCCGCGGCTGGCTTTTAAAGTGACAAGAGTTGGAAAGATAGCTAGGCTTTTTATGCTAATAACCCTGGCACACTTACCTCTATTTTACTAATTCACTATTCCTAAAGGCTTAAATCATCGATTTCTGTAGCTATGAAGGACTGCTAAAAGACTAAATGGTTCAAAACGTACTTGGAGGGTGTCACCTGAAGGATCTGTCAGGCACCTAGGTTCATTAATCAATTCCCACGCAAAAATAGTGGGATCATCCCTGTATTCAACACCTGTAACTGTGTTCTTCCTTGTTAATACCGTCTGCAAAAGAAAAAAGTAACATACTGAATCAACGGATTTTATTTTCCACATCTCTATTAAGGAGGTAACAAAACCAGTTATCATAACAAGTTCATACTCTAGAATTTAAATTATAAGACGTAAGGTATACCGTCCAAATGACCAAATGAAAAGTCAAATCTCATAGATAAGATAGGATTCCAACTTTGGTCCCACAACTTGCCATTTTCAGTTTTGGTCTCTTGGCTTCATATTTTCTACTTTTGGTACACAACTATGGATGTCTTGCCACATTCAATCTTTCTACTCTCCTACCCGGAGAAAATCCAAATGGATATTATACATGAATTGGCAGGATAAGGATTGGAAGAACCAAAATGGCAAGAGATGTGTAGTCATGCATCACAAGTGGAAAACATGATTGTTGGGACCAAAAGTGAAAATAACTTAAAGGTCATAAGATTAAATAAAGAAGATTTTCAAGTCTTTCAAACAAATAACTACTAAGTCGCAAATAATAATAAAGATAGTCAGATAGACTTGAATGCTTACATATACTCCAAAGTTTGTGCTCAAGACATAAAGGTGTAATGACATGACAGAAAAGGGCAAGGTTGGTTTACCTTGACATAGTTTTTGAAATAACTACGAATGGTTGGATCATAGAAGAATGAATCATTAGAGGAGCTTAAACCAAGACCTTCTTCCCATGCCCACTTAACATATTGAGACTTCCCCCCATAAGCTTGCAAGTTATTAACCAAGCAAAGTAACAGCCTAACTCCATATTGTTTCGCTTCTGCAATTACATGGTCTAGGGCCTGCAGTACAACAAACATTTAGCAGTGAGTGACAACAACAACCATAAACAAGTCTGAATCCCAATATTATTATTTTTTTCGAAGGAGAAAAGTAATGGATACTTCAATAATTGTATATATAAAACAAATAACAAAAATAACAGCCTTCTCAGAGATGCACCTTTGTACCATATTAATTTCAAGAGTGAGAAAATAAAGATCGACATTTAGTCTAGGAAAGTAAATTTACTCAGGCAACGTTTGGTAGAATTAATTGTAGATTAAGTGTATATCAAGTACTTCATGACTTACTCATTTGGCTAAATTTGTTCCTACAGAGAGCTTTGGTTTACATAAATCCAACAGATTCAGCTAATTCAGCCAAATATCTCTTACCATACGGGCACTAAATCACCAAAAAATTGGAAAGCAGAGCTGATATCAAAAGTAAAAAAAATCGAAGAATGAATGTGGTGAAATTGTGATCTTTTCCTGATTTCTGAAATCCACAAAATAGAGCTACAAAGTGGCCAAGAAATAAATGATGGGAGATAACAAAAAAACATTGAATTATGATCGGTCAAGAGATATAGTAATCATTAATACTAATGGAAGTGCCAGGGCAATTAAAGTGAAATAGATGATGATAACATGACCATTGAAAGCACGTCTCTTACTCTAAAAACACTTTCATCATATATGCCGGGTGAAAGTTGTAAAGCATTATATGTGCCATCATTGAAAGCCCAGGTTCTGCATACAGTGAGACCCATCTTAGCACCAGCTTGCAGAATGGCTCTGATCCTTGGTCTTCTACCCTCATCCACAGCATGATCCATCAACCAATAAGAGTTCCACCCATTAACATAGAAGGCTTTACCATCCACAAAGAACTGAGTCCCATTCCTCTCCACAAAATTCAGTTTTGTTTCTGTGTGGAAATCTGGCCATAGGTTACCAAAAGACATGTATATACAAGCCACAAGCGATGCAATCCCAATTGTCGGGTAAACCAGGCCATATCGTTTTAGCATTCTGCTAATGTATGATTTCACCATTATTAGGCTGCAAATTTGAGAGAAAATGAACAGCACTTCTAAAATCAAGTCCAAATCAGGAAAATTCTGGTGCCAAAGAAGCAATTAATGCTCCAGAGCAAAGAAATAGTAGTATTTACACTGGATCAATCTGGCTTCCGAATAATCTTAGGATTCAGGATCCTCAGATCCTCAATCCGGATAATAGCAGAAACTTGCAGGTACTCCGGGAAGAGAAAAAAAGGTCCGACAAGTAGATGCCCGCATTCAACTACACACTACGTATGTGAAAACTTTGGCGAATGACAGGGGTTGCGTGGTCGGAGGGTGATTTTCTTTTTTACAGCTGCCTCTCACTTTTTTTTTGCCTAGTCACGTGTATTACATAAAGTTTACCAAGTATAAATCAAGAAGAAGGTAGATATGCCCTCGAACTTACGTAAAAAGATCAAATAAGCTTTTATATAGGAGACTCTATCTAGCCGTCTCCATTTGTTTCAGTTTCCGTTGGAATTTTTCGATGAAATTTTTTGAGCAATTTATTCATTAAATGTAGTTTACTCATATCAAATTCCAGCTAAAATTTCAATCGGGAAGGCATTCAAATGAATTCGTGAAGATAATTGCGTAGTTAAAAGCGCAGTTACCTTCAAGAATTCATTTGAATGCCTTTCCGATTGAATTGTTAGCTGAAATTTGGTATGAGTAAACTAGATTTAATGAATAAGATGCTCAAAAAAATTCATCAAAATAAATCATCGGGAACTGCCCCAAATGATGAAAACCGGACAGGGCCTCCTATATAAGGGCTTATTTGACCTTTTTATGTAAGTTCGAGGGCCTATTTGACTTTTTTCCCTACAAATTAAGATCTTTTTCAAAAAAAATGGAGAAGCTATATTGAGTAGTTTTTGCGACAATTTTTTGAGTTTATTTTGAATTAATGTCAATTAATTAAATAATTAAGGAAATAAGGTTAGGTTAAAACTTATTACGAATATACTGATGGGCTTAACCCTGGTCGGGGAAAGACGTCAAACCGTTTGGCGACTTATAAGTCGCCAAACCGGAGGAATCTGTGTAGTTACATGGATTTTTTTGCAGCATCTCAAGCAAACATGCGTCACGAGAAGCAATTACAAAATTTGATGCTCCCACCTTCATGACGTATTTGGCCTGCTTCCTCAAATATGTTCCCTCCCCAATGACACACGATTGGGAAGTTGGAAAATTTCATATTCTAATTACAATGCATGTCCAAATTTCATGAGTACATATTAATATACACACTTTATACACTCAAATTAATCATTTAATACGCATAACAACATATTAAAAAACTCTCATATTTAAGCAAATCCTATAGGATAAGTATACACCTAACAATGCAAAAATATTACTCCGTACATAAAAAAATCAAAATTTTCATTAACATTCACTTTAATAATACACAACAAATCCACAACAAAATCAAAATATTACATTTAATTCAACATTCACACTCAACATGTCAAACATATCCACATTTCACAACAAATCAATTCACAAATCAATTCTTAATCTAAAAATTCGAACTTTTTACATTCTAAACCCTAACTTCAATATGAGATGAAATGGAGTTTGATTTATCTAGAAAAAAGAGTGTTGAAGAAGATGGAGGTGGAGAATCCCTTGCAAGGTGGCATTGCCGGAGAGTAGCTCGAAGAATCGTCGGGCTCTTTTTTTTTGGGGGGGGGGGACTTTTGTTCTGTCTGTCAAAGGCCGGGTGACCTGTCTGTTTTAAAGACAAAGTCGCCAAAGTTATTTAAAAATAAAGTGAAAAAGTTATTTGAACAAAAAAAAGAAAGCAGGGAGAATTAGATAGGACTAATAGAGTAAATAATAGACATCTATAATTATTTTGCCTATCTAACAACCTACATGCTAAAATATACTCCCCCGTCCCGCAATGAACTTCTCACTTTCCTTTTTTAGATGTCCCAAAAACAAGTTCCCATTTCCTTAAATGGCAAGTTAATCTACATCAAAACAGTGTCAAACAGTGCCAAACAGTGTCGAAACAGTGCCAAACAGTGTTGAAACAGTGTCAAAACAGTAAAATTTACCCCATGGTAAGTTTATTTCATTAATATGTGTGTAGGTCAAACTGTGAAGTTCATTGTGGGACGGAGGGAGTACTCCGTATTGCCTCCATCCGGTGGACTTTGATCATTTAGAAGTAGGTGAGAAATAAGAAAGGTAAAAACCGTATGGTTGAGATTGTGCAAGTGAGATAGAAATAAGAACCACAAATTAATTGTTTTAATTAGAAAGTAACAATTTTTTTAGACAACTAAAAAAAATTTGACATTGTTCAATGAAACGAAGGGAGTAGTATAATATAGTTAACCGTGTTGTTTATGATAGGGTAGGATATAAAGCTTTAAAAAGTGAAAGGACAAAGAGATAGGGGTTGCAATACCTCCCATCCAAGAAAGCATTGATTGTTTTTCAATATTAGTATTTCACCTGTATAATGAATGCAAAGAAATTACATTGTAAAATACTTGTACATTAAAATTCAAATATAATAATGCTATAGTAAAATGTTACCTAATAAGCGAACTACAATGGATTCAAAATAAAGTGTGAAGTAATTGATATTGCCTCTATATAGAAAATGTATATCTTGAAATAAAACGTTTATTTTGTGCATCACATAGTGCTTTATAGGTAGTGCATCATAGTAACAATCAATAACTGCAACTCACAATGGTTATGTGGAGGTAATAGTTCATATGTGTTAGCATGAATTTGTAATGCACACGAGTACAAGGTCTACTTGGACTAGCTGAATCATTATAAACCTATAACTAACAACGTCAATATCTTTGTTGGTCTATTGGGTCAGGGCTTAGAGGAACTTTGATGGAGGATTCTAACCTTTTGGACGAAGAATGAAATGAGTAAGAACATGTACACGATTATTCTAAGCATAAGGAGTATTTGGTACTCCGTATAATGAAAGTGAAGCGTGTAGCTTGTACTCCCATCATATTTATTTTTTACACTACAATTTGAAGATTTTGTGGACAAAGTTTGACTCTTGTATTTGGGTCAACTAAGTTGGTTGAATGATTAATATGTTGTAATGTTTCACAGGATATCACACACAGCCTGACGAGCACTTTGTCACGGTGCGTCCAAATAATTTTCAATACTAACACTTATACATAGTATAGAGTTGTAGAGTTCGTATCCACAGGGAAAGGAATAATTCTCTTTTTATGAAACTTAGTAAATAAAAGGGGGGATTTGGATTGAGTGATTTAATTTAATTAAAAACTAAGATGAACGACCTATATGAGATTTAATTCAAAGATAAAAAGGACTTGGCATTGCTACTTTCCACTTGTTGATATATTTTAGTCGATCATTGTTATATCTATAACTTATTCCCTCTCGAATACTCAATCGGGGAGTATATCCACTTCATCGAGGGTAGTTATTAACAACGACCGTTCATTAATAACCCTTACTATTAATCAAATATAGAACAACGCCTTATACCGATTTAATAGTAGCATTTAATCTTTCTAACTCCTTGATGAAATCAATTGAGATTGATAACCTCAACACAAGCGGTTTCGGTTTAACCAACAAAATTAATCCCTCTTAAGTTTATTAACCACGACCGTGCATTAATAAACCGAAGTTACTAACTTGTGAAACCATCAACGATTAACCATCGGTTCGTTGATCGTTTCTAGTAATAATTAATATATGAAACAAAACTAGTTGATCCTTTAAGTAATGTCAAAAAATTAATATGAAATAAGAGTAGGAATTCATTAATATTCAAGGAAGAATATTATTAAAGAAGATGAATCCTACTATAATTAATATCAAGATGTTAACTAATTGTCATCTTAGCAACACTCCCCAACATTAATATAGAGGAAGAAAATGTCATACTAACTAATGTCGAGATGTTAACTAATTGTCATCTTAGCAACACTCCCCAACATTAATATAGAGATGGTATTAAGGAAAGAACTATTAATTAATATTCAAGGAAAGAAGTTAAGAAAATAACTCACAACTTTAATAATCAACAAGCTTCAAGAGCAACACCAAGAATGGAAGTTTAGCTCCTCATTTGGAGACTAAACATAGCTAGAAAAATATAAAGAAATGCTATTCTAAACTGAGCTAAAGAGTATGGAAGATGGGATGATTTTTTGTGAAGGAAAAGTGTGCTATTTATAGGTGTTTTTCAACACCTTTGGCCGGGTACCCGACCGGGTCAAGTCAGACCCGACCGGGTGGGGTAGGGGACCCGACCGGGTGAGTGCAAAAATTGGATATTCTTCACGTTCAGGTGATCTTTGCACACCGGGTTATCCCCGGTCACTTCTCACCCGACCGGGTGAGGTAGTGGGCCCGACCGGGCCATGCACTTTCTTTGCATTTTCGTTTTTCACTTCTTACCCGACCGGGTCAAGTGTTATACCCGGTCGGGTATTTGCTCCTGGGCAGCCAAATCTTCTTTTTCTTCACTTCAAAGTCTTCCTTTCCAATACCACAAATCCTAACTAAACTTTACAATTGACAAATAAAGACTAAAATACAATTACAACTGAAATCACATAAATGTTTACAAACTAAATAAAACGTCAAACAATCACCATCAATGAAACATAAAAACATACAATTATGCACTACTAATTAGTGTGCATCAAACACCCCCACACTTAAACCTTTACTCGTCTCGAGTAAATCAAATCAAATCCAAGAAGTCCTAAATGACAAGAATATCAATACAAGACATCCAAGAGTGTTTTTACCACAATACAAAGCATCCCCAATAATAATTAAAGTAAATTGGGGTCTTCAACTTCATCTTTATCTCCATTTCTCTTTTGAACTTATCACCTTCAGGATCCTGCAAAATAGACATTTCTCTCATTCTCTCGTTTTGCCTAGGTGCCCTTTCAGGTTTTCATCCGAGCTTCCCACATTTTTTTTCTCACAACCTCACTCTTTATTTTATTGCTTTAATTTTTGCTTGAGTTGCCCTTTGTGGGTTTTCAACTAAACAAGCTCTTTTTTTTTTGTTTTTTTTTAAGAAAATAAAATAAAACAAGTAGGATTGTGAGCATACCAGAACAATCTCTGCACCCCACACTTAGGATCTGACACTGTCCCTAGTGTCCGCCTAGACCTCCACCTTGGTGTCCGTCCTCATCCATGTGATCCCCACCATAACCACCATCGTAGCCTCCACCACCGGAGCTCGATCCTCCAAAGAAACCCCACTGAGAGGGGTCATATCATGATGGTGCAGGAGGTGGAGTGGTCATAGAGGAAAA